CATCACAGAAAGATTTTTAGGTCCAGCAACTGGCATCACAGATACTTTTCAAACTCTCATACAATATAAGTAGACTCTAATAACCAAAGACCGTAAGCAGGAGTGGCATCCACTTCCTAAATAACATGCCTCTGGAAACTATGAATTTTGATAAATAATGAGGGTTAAAGAATGGCTTCAGGCCTTTTGTTCATAGGTCACTATGAGACATGCTCAACTTGATAGCAATCAACAACAACAATAACCAAAGAAACACAATTCAATTCAGCTCTATTTAGAAAATCAAACTAAAAGCACTATAATTAATCCAAACTGTAGGATTAGGATGATAATAATCAGAGTATAGGTCAGCTGATTAATCCTATCCTCCAGGAAATATTTATCTAGCATTTATGTAACATTCAGGGCACAATGTATTTAAACCTTGGGTATGTCACCAGGAGACCTAGTCAAATATTACCCTATTTGCCAAATTAAAAAAGGCACAGCAGAAAGTTATCCATGTGTCCTGGCTGTAAATGTTCAGAAACATATGACTATAGGCAAGGAATACTCTAATAAAAGAGGAGATGGCAATGGAAAGACTGAGCTCAATTTTAGTACTTTTCTTTTTCATTTTTAAAGAAAAGCCACACGATAGTGTACAATTTTCAAAAGAAAAACAAGGACGTTAGATTAACATTAATTCTAAACAGTTTAAAAAACTCATTGCTGTGAAATTAGAAATCGAAGCCACCCACACCTGACCATCTATCAGGTATTCAGAAGCTATAAATCACATAGATTGCCCATCTTTCTGCCAAGGAGCAGCTGGTGAATTCAAACTGCCTGCCTTTGTACTGGTGTTGCAACTTCTTACCCACTAGACCACCAGTGTTAAGGCTAATATCTAATCAGTTAGATATAAAGAATATTAACAGGGAGAACTACATTGCTATTAAGCCTAAAGTTAAGGAAACAATGATAAAATAAAAATTAATTTGTTTTATAAATTAGAGGACTTCAATCTCAAAGTTAAATGTGAAAAAGCTAAGTAATAGAACTGATAAGAGGCCTACTGTAATACATTATTAGTATATAGCTAGTAGTGTACTTAATGACCCATTTGTGCTTTTGGAATCTAGAAAGGGGCAGTTGAAGAAGGGATGCTCAGTGCGATCTGGCGTCACATGGGTAAATCACGAGGAGATTCAAGGGTGACACCAAGCTCGAGAGTCACTACCTGCCTGCACAGGTAATTGAAGAAATCACAGATGAGGGCAAGTGCAAGGGGAGAAGGGAAATAGTAAAGAATTGGTACAAAAGGAAAAAAGAATTAGGAAGAAGAAGAAGACAAAGAATGATAACAGTGCCTGGTAAATGGATCGAGAAGCTGTGCTATATTCACACAATGGAATACTACACTGCATTGAAAAACAAAGAACTCATGCAGTATTATACAAAATGGGTGACCCGGGAGGACATTATGCTGAATGAAATATCTCAGTCATAAAGAGACAAATAGTGCATAATGTCACTGCTATAAAACAGGACTGACATGGGGGTTGGAAGGAAACTAAGAAAAGAGGTGATAAATAAAAAAGGAATATATGATTAGGTAGTATTAGGATGACAAGAATCCAGAATAAGAGCTGCATAGTCAAGTGGACTGGGGTGGGGGACTGTATAACAATGAAAGAGGGTTTTTTCCAAAGAAAAAAGCAAACAAAGAGGGAGGGGGCAGGAAAGAAAATGCGCAACCATGAATGAATAGAAATCGAAGTTCTCTATAAACTTTCATCAAAAATCTCAATTAAAAAATATCACAAGGAAAAAACAAACAAAAGAACCCAAACAGAGCCTGGGGTATTACTCTGGGCACCTATTGATTGTCTATTAGCTAATCAACAGAACAGAACCCAAAAGACTGCTTTCTGAAAAGAAAATGATGTTATTAAAATAAGCAGCAGCAAGGGGGGTAATGGGAAGGTCAGTTTGTCTCTGGGTTGGGACATAAAAGAATAGTATCACCCTTTCAATTGCAGTCTCTAGGGATGAAAGAAAAGCTCAGGGGAATGAAGTAACAGAGACCTGGATAAAAGCAGGAAGATAGAGAAAGACATAATTCTGACAGGCACCTACTTCCTCCATGTGTCCCAAATGTTGTGCAGAGGCTGAGACTAAGAGAAGGGGGTCTGTCTGTGCTGGTACCATCTTGCCATACTGACCCTGACTTGGTGACCTTGGGCAAGGCTTTTAACCCTTCAGTTTATCATTTTTCGTCTGTAAATCAAGATCTGTCTAATAAAGGAGAGAACTCTGGTGACATAATCCCTAGGGTGTTGTGCCAAAGACTTTGCTTCTCTAAGTTTGAATCCATCAGTACCTCTAAGGGAGAAAGAGACGCGCAAACTCCTCTTGTGCAAATTAGAGCTTCCAACCCTACGGGAATGAGTTTTTTAAAGATCTCATAAGGCAATCCTGGTGGCAGAGTGTGGAATATATTGGGTTGCTAATCACAAGGTCGGCAGTTCAAATCTACCAGTCACTCCAGTCTCCTCCCACAAGGATTTACAGCTTCCTTGGTGGGTATCTATGAGTGGTAATGGACTCAACAGCAACAGGTGAGATTTACGATTTCTTGTAGTGTTAGAATGTAGTGGCTTAATATTTTAGGAGTTATGTAAACTATTCCAGCTTTCTACTTTAACTCCTTGCAAGGAGAAAGTTTAGCCTTTTTCTTCCCTTGCTATGAGGAAAGAAGTATAGCCACTGAGTAAAAGCATAGATTCTGGAGGCAGAAGGCTTGAACTGAAGCCCCAGATCTGCTATCTGGCAGTTGTGCAACTCTGCTTCATTAACTTCCACATGAGAGAAAAGTTTCTGACTCGTAGGGCTGCTAGTGCCTGGAAACAGCAGGCCTGGCGCACGGCACGCATTCAGTGGGTGCTATGAAGTCTAAAAAGAAGAACTTCAGCAACGTTTTCCCTGTTGACTTATTTCAATCAGCTCGGCTGTTCAGCACTCACTTCATCTGCAGTCACTAATTCAGCAGCTGCTCCAGCTCTGAGATACGGGGGCCCTGTGTGCCCACAACCCTCATCGCCATGGGAGGCAGTTTGAAACGTGAAAGGCACAGAGCTATGAAGAAATCTTCTTCAGCTTCCCTGTGTCCATCTGCAGTGGTTGGACCCTCTCTAGAAACATCTTGGCTTATTTCTTGTGCAAGTTAAAAAAACACTTTTTAATATGAAAGGAACCTGCATAATTGATTATTCATGAATAATTGCTATTGTTGTTAGGTGCCATCGAGCCAATGGACTCACAGCAATCTTATGAACGACAGATCCAAGCCCTGCCCCATCCTGTACCACCTCACTGCATGAGCCCCGTGGTGCAGTAACTGTGCCACCCCACCTTGCTGAAAGTTTCCTCTTTTTCACTGACCCTCTGCTTTTCCCATCACAATGTCTTTTCCCAGGGGACACTATCACCAAATATTGTGCCTTGAGAAAAGTCTTTGGGAGACAAGAAATCAAAATCTCAGAGTTCTGGTCTTCTTGTAAACAGCATTTTAGTAAGTTGGGTATCTGTTAAGGAGGGTAACAATGAAAGCTATACTTTAGAAGAGAGGGACAGGTAGGGCTGTATGGCTGAAAGGGAATTGTGTTTGGAGCCCAGCACAGGTGGACTGCTTTTAACCACAAAATGGAACCACTTAGAGACTTCAATTCATCTGGAAAATGGGTATAATAATATTAACTTCAAGGTAGGTTATGAAGACTAGACGAGATCAGACATAAATAAATTATGGCAAATACAAAAATCATGTTCATCAACACCAATGAAAATTGTGCAAAACCAAATGGAGTCAAGTTGAATAGTCAATTGACAAGAAATTATGCCACATCTAAGTCCTTGTTGAATCGTGGGGATACAGGAGGATGGAGAGGGTGGAAGAGCATGCATTTATTCACTTACAGAGATATTTTCACTTTCAAAACATGGTTCAGCTGCCTCAGTGCATAGCATGCTGACTGAGTCATCCCTGATTACATGCAGGACAAACCCTCAGGAAAAAGTTATTTACTTATTAACTTATCTTGTGAACTCAAACATAGGAATTTCAGAGTTACAAGTATGTGCATACAACACAACACACCTTCGCATCTCCTGAAGGCACTGTATCCTACCAAGAGTAACCTGTGCTCAGAACGGCCCTGATGTAGTCAATCAAGATTAAATTCATCTCTGATTTAAGCAATGAAACATTAGAAGACATTTCAGGGTTTTGAGAGGGAGTATTGAAATGCATAAAGGATAAACTTTTTGAAAGTTTCAGCACTTAAGTACAGGTAGCATTTGCTACAATACAAAACTTAACACTAAGCAACTGACATGTGCTGACAACAATGCTGAGGTAAATATCATTGTTAAATGGCTAACACACCTGGCTTGGAAAGTTTGAAGGCTTGAGAAAGCTTGGCGGTTTGAGTCACCCAGAAGCATCTTCAAAGAAAGAACAAGTGCTCTACTCACAAAAATTGAGCCACTGAAAAAACCTAATGCTACAGAGTTCCAATTATGACATGCATGGTGTCACCATGAGATACACTCAACTTGAGGATGACTGGGGGTAAATATTAGTATTATCCACATTTTAGAGAGGAAGAAGTGGAGGCTTCATGAGGTAAAGTACTAAGTCTGACTGACTTTCCCCAAAACACACGTGACCAGTCAGTGATGAGGCCAGGCCTTGACCATGAGCCGCCCACTCTAGGGAGCAGGCACATCAACTGACACACAGAAAACTCATTTATGTGTGACCTTCCTGGTCAGACAATCCTGAAAATGGAGGGGTCAGTGAGCTTGGGTAAGAGACATTGCTGGTAACTCCCAAAAAAATGGAGAGGAGAATATATATTTCTATTTCTATTTCTATATATACTCTACAAAATATGTTTTCAGTATAATACATGAACAGTGAATTGTCCTAGAACACACACACACAAAGTTCATACCTTCATTTTTCATGATGTAATGGACAATCTGCCCAACAGTGTCACTATTTTCATTTATACTGTCGTTCAGTTCTGAAAGAGAGGAGGAGAGGGTAGAAAGCATTACATTAGTCATCGGTATCAAGTCAATTAGTCATTCTAGGTTAGAGACCTAGGTCTCACAGAATGACCTCCAGAAGGGTCCAAGGATCAATCATTCTAAGAGACCAGGCTGGCTTCCTTCAGCCAGAGTGCCTAGATATATAATCACATCTTTAACTTTAGATACATAAAAGGAAAGTCCCAGAATGCTTCATTAGTCTCATTCTAGAATACACTTTCCTAAACACCTTCCCAAGAAATACTAGTGCCACAGTGCATAAAGTACCAGGCTATTAACTGAAAGATTGGCAGTTCGAATCCATCTGTAAAAAAAGTGGCAGATTTCTCCTGTAAAGATTTACATCTCAGAAAACTGAAGGGAGGATGGCTATGAAGAGTCAGAAACACTTGGATGACAGTGTGTAAACATTTCCCACTTTCACAATGATTTCATGCATTTATACCCACCCTTAGCACTGCTGGCCCTGTCTCATCATTTTCTTAAATCTCCTTGGCTTTTATTTTAATGACAGACTTAGAGAGTCAAGTGTACTATTTCCAAAAATTGATTATTTTTTACCCATGTTTATAAGATTCTTGGCTCCCTTAAGAACTTTAAAATATACTCCCAAGATATCTTAAAGTCATGATGATTTGTTCACAAGCTCAATTTACTTAGGAGAGACTGCAGACTAGCAGTATATATAATATTGTTTTTGTTTTTTAATTTAGGTTGTTTATTTGTCATTTCAATGAACATCTACAGAGATTTTGGAATTCCATTCATTCATTGTTGCACCCTTCTCCCCGCACAAACCTCTCCCCCCACCCCCTGTTTGCTCCTCTCCTTGAAAAGCAAAAGAAAAACTCCCTCATTGGTACACGATCCCCCCCGCACCTCCCCAAACCCCACCCCTACCCCCAAATATAATCCACTCTGCAACCCTCATTGCATACTCCTACGATAAAAATAATGCCCTAAAATATAATACTTTTAGACGTCAATGCCGTATAATATTGTTTTTAAGTGACATTGAGTTGTCTCCAACTCATAGTGGCTCTATATTCAATAGGAAACACCCTACCTGATCCTATGCCATCATCACAGTCTTTACTGTGTTTTGTTAACTCCATTGTTACAGTCACCATGTCAATCCATTTTACCAATGGTCTTCCTCTCCTTCCTTGATCCTCTACTTTACCAAGGATGATGTCCTTTTCCAAGAACTGGTGCCTCCTGACCACATGCTCAAAATACATATGGGGTTATGAGTTTATTGTTCAAAATGGCTTTCCTAGTCAGTGACTTTGACTTTCAATATGTGACTGGGTGGGAACATAAAACAGGCTGTGTATAAAAAACTCCCGATGAGAATGATCCGTTTTCCCATCCTATCAAGTTTAAACTGAGCAAGTTCAGTAACAGAAGATGGGAATTTCACTATCGGCAAGGATGAAGCAGTAGCAAAGGCCAGAGATTTCTGGGCAGGTCAGACTGGGATCTACACGAGAGCAGAGAACCAGAGACCCAACACGAGACGGAGCTCACTTGGTACTGCTGCTCAGAGCCAGAACCAGGAGCCTTTGCTCAAACCTGCTGGAGAACTGCTGAGAAGACAGCAAGACAGGCAAGACTAAGAGCTGACCTAAGCTGTGAACTTGAAGGCTGAGGGTCTGTAAGCATGCTTGAGATGCTGTCCTGAATGAGGAATTTTATGTGTTATCAACCTGCTTGTTAACTTATCTAATAAGCCCCATAAACATGAGTGTCCTGCTGTGAGGTCTATGTGTCCTTTGCAACAGATTTTGGACCCAGTAATAGAGCAGTCCAATTGATGCTGGAATTAGTAGAAGCAGGTGCAGGAGCATGGGGGACAGGTCTAACGTCATAGGAATTCATTTTATACTGGGGATGCTATTGTTAGGGGCAGTTCCCCCTTGTGGAGTTAACAGAGGTCAGAAGCAACTATTCCTACACTGTTCCTAAATTTTTTTTAATCGTTAGTGAAATGGCATGTTACCATGCCTGCTTCCAAGAAGCACCCCAGCTGTGCCACTTCCAAGATAGACTTATTTGTGCTTTTGACGTTGTATAGTATATTCAACAGAATAGAAATGGCAGAATGGGACAGAAGAAATGATGCCTTTAGACTGTGGTGTTGGACAAGAGCGCTAATTATTTCATGGACTGCCAAAAGAACAAACAGGAGCTCTGGTGGCCTAGTGGCAAGGAGCTACAACTACAATCCCAGAGGCGCATGGTTCGAATTCACCAGATGCTCTGCTGGGGAAGGAGGGACAATCTCCTCCTGGACCAGTCAGATCTGATCTGATGGTACACTCACACAAAAATAATAAAATGAAAAAAAAATTTAAATAAAAAGAACAAACAGATACATCTGTGGTGCAGTCAGAATGCTCCTTGGAGGCAAAGATGATGAAGCTTTGTCTCACATACTTTAGGCATGTCTCTAGGAGGTTATTCCTTAGAGAGGGAAATCATGCTGGAAAAGGGGGAGGGATTGTGAAGGAGAGAAAGACCCTCAACCAGGTGGATTAACACAGTGATTGCAGCAATGGGCTTGAGTGTGTAAGAGATTGGGACCGTGACAAAGGATAGGTTCAGATCTGTTGTTCATAGGGTCACTATAAGTCGTACTCAACTCAACAGCACCTAACAACAACAACAACAGTATATTCAACAAGTCTGGAAAAAGTAAAACCTCTCTGAAGTCAGTCAGCATGCTTTGTTTCAATTAAAGAAGTAGGAAGAGTGAAACCTAGTTGACTAAGAGTGAGTCAAGGTGTACAAGGTCCTACCCACTTTGTCCGGCAAGCATGTCCTCCATCCAGCTGACCAGTTTTTTTCCTATGTTAATAGAAGCATTTGGTTTTGCAGTGAAATGCTGACTGCTAAGCCAGTCTACAGAGGAGTTGTGAAGGAAGTGAGGAGGAGGTTCTGTTCTCTGTTGACAAACACTCAGCTTGGGTTTGCTCATGAGTTTACACATGACTCATCTCTGCCTCAAAGGTCAGTGGGGGTGGGAAAAACCAACAGGCAGGCATACTGGCAAGGAATGAGGAACCTCCCCCCAAATCACAGCCCAGGCTTGCAGGAAGGATGGCCTCCTCTAAATGTCACCTTTCTGAAAAAAGAAAAGAAAAAAAAATCCCTTTGAGGACTGAAAGTTGTGGGGAGAAACATTTACTATGCCCTCAAGACTCAAGTCAGGAAATGACCCTAATGAATGACCAAAAAACATCCACAGAGAAAATAGCTCTCAGGTTTTATGAGAAAGGCTACTGCCAACTCAAGGCTAATAAAAATTAATACACGGCTGAAAACTCACTGGACAACGGAATACTATACAACATTAAAAACAATGAAATTAAAAAAAACAATGAAATAGGAAAACATTACACAACATGGGAGAATATTGAGAACATTGTGCTGAGTGAAATATGTCAGTCACAAAAGGACAAATACTACATAACATTGCTATTATAAAATAGGGCAAATATGGGGGGTCTGGAGAGGAAATGGGGAAAGAGTAAATGGATATGAACACTGCATTAGATCAGATGAGGGGAAGAACTGTCTGAAAGAAATATGTTGTTATTGTCGCTTGTGACTCATAGAGGCCCTATGTACAATATCCCTGAAACCTGCTCTATCCTGTGCTAACCTTATTGTCTCTGATACACCTAGCCTCATTTCTCCATTCACTGAATCTATCCATCTCATCGATGGTCTTTCTTTCTCTGTCCCTCAACCCTTCCAAGTGTGATGTCCCTCTCTAAGGACTGGTCCCTCCTTGCAACATGCCCGAAGTATGTCAGACAAAGCCTCAGAATCCTTGCATCCAAGGAGCGCCCTGGCTTCAATCTCTCCAGGACAAAGCTGTTGGTTCTCCTAGAAGTCCAAGCTATATTCAACACTCTTCTCCAGCACCATCGCTCAAAGGCATCAATTCTCTTTCTATCATCTCTAGTCATGTCAAGCTCTCTGATGCATGATAAGCAATTGCAAAGACTTTGCCCTGGGTCAGGCGTCATCTTAGTCTCTAAACAAACATCATTGCTCTTTGGTACTCTGCAGAGATCCCCGAGAGCAGACTTTCCCAATGCAATACAATTATGAATTATATGTATTAGAACAATCTGGAACAAGGAGTGTATTGTGGCGTGGGCTGGGGGAGGGGGGGTTGTTGGAGAAGAGGAGAAAATGTTCAATAATGAATAAGTAAAAGAAAAAGAAAACTCATTGGAGGGTTAGTTATCAGTTGGTTCTGATGGGCTCGCAGTGGGTAAAAGTGAGCTCAGCCCACAGGTAACAAATACCAGTTCCTGCATGCTTCTACTGCATGTCCATAATGATTTCTTTTATATACACCAATTCTACCACACAGCTTTAAAATAAGACTCTTTCAACAAAAGTCCTAAAAACAGTGATTCCTACTTAATATTCCCACCATTCTTATTAGCATCTTATTCAACAACAACAACAAAAAATAGTTGGGATTAACATTTACTGAGTGTCAAGGACAAAATGCATCTTCTCCCTAAATTTCAGTCATTCAAGGAAGAACCCACTGTTCTCATTTTAATTTTATATTTGAGAACAGAGATTTGAAAAGACATAAATGATGTAAGCCTGACGACAAATAAGCAGAAATTAGTTGATAGGTACTTAAGGAATGTGTGTGAAATAAGTGAAAGTCCTTGGGTATATAGTTAATGCACTTCAGTGCTACCCATGAGGTTGGCACTTCAAATTCCCCTTGAGGTGCCCTGAAAGAAAGGCCTGGCAATGTACTTCCAAAAATACAGCCACTGAGAACTCTGACATATGCAGGCTCACCCAGAGTTGGAACCATCTTGATGGCAACTGGTTTTTAAATCACTCAAAGCAAGGACTCAACCTGTGGGTGTGATTACTTCAAGATCTACACTTACACTGCACTTCACTATCTGCTGTTACAATGATTATTTTGCCCCTGACTGATGAGAAACACACGACTGGGTTCCTCTTTAAAATATCCTCCCTCCCCAGCTCTGCCTACAAAGAGGCCAGGCTCTTTACCTATCTTCTCAACCTTTTCTTCTTCGACCTCTTCTTCGGCTTCCGTTGTGCAACGGTACCCTTTCTTCTTGAGCAGATGGCAGATGAGGACACCAAGGAGACCCATGATAAAGAAGACGGGGACCAGAGCATACGCGATGTACTTGGCGTGTCCGTTCTCAGCATTGTTGGTGGGCGATGGCGTCGTCTCTGTCCCAGAGTGCAGCGTCTGGCTACCACTGTTGTCTACAGAGGGAAACACGCAGGGCTGCATTAGATTTCTATCAGGGACACGGACAAGGAAAAATTGAACCCATCAGGATATTTTCAGATCAAATCAGAGCTATGAGTCTTTCAGAAAGGAGAGGGTCTGGAGCCCATGGCACCCAGGAGGAGAGCAGGGCCCTAGAGGCTGAGCTCACCAGCTAGGTCCTGATGCGCAACCTCTTCTCATGCAATGTGCTACCTCTGAAGACTCGCTGGAGGGTCATCATGAGCCAGAATGGACTCGACAGCAGTGGCTTTGGTTGGAGTTTGGCTATAGGGCTTTATGGAGATGAAATAAATGTACACATGTAAGACACTTAGGATCACGTCTGCAAAATAGGAAATACTCAATAAGCTCTGTATGTTGTTATTAATATTGTTATTATGACTTTATCAGATTTTGTTTTCTATTATTTTGTTATTTATTCCCTGTAAGCGAGGGTAATAAATTCCAGAAAGACCCACCAAACTGTACAATTATTCTGCCACAACCACGCCACCAAAAAACCAAAGCTGCTGCTGTCGCGTTGATTCTGCTCACGATGACTCCAAGTGTTACGGGACAGAACTGCTCCTTGGGATTTTCTTGTCTGTGATCTTTACAGATGTAGCCTGCCAGGCCTTTCTTCCATTGCACCAATGGGTTGAGTTCAAATCACTAACCTTTCGGTCAACAGCTGAGGACAGTTTGTACCACCCAAGGACCAATTACTGTGGAGTACTAATACAATTTCATCAGAGGGTACCCACTGATCTATAGAACGCGAGTCAGCACTGCAAACCAAGAAGTTATTCAACCGCAAAGGAATCTGCAGACAATTTCCCCATATTCACAGGACAGATACTGGTGGTCAGAAGACTAGCAGGGGCTTCTTTACCGAGCAATCATTTTCTCTCTGCATCTCAAGCTCATCAAGCACCTCACGTCTCCCCACCAATCTTCAGCCCTGCTCCTATCACCTATCTCCCCCTATACATACACACACTTTGCTGTTTCTACCAAAAGTAATACCACTGCTTCTTGTTGTTATGTGCTGCTCTCAAGTTAGAACTGACTCAGAGCTAACCCTCTATCTAGGGGTTTTTCAAAGGCTGTAAATCACACAGGAGATTGTCAATCTTTCTCCCTCAGAGCAGCTCATCGTTTTGAAGTGCCTGATTTGGGGTTGTCAGCACACTTGCTTACACACTAGGACACTAGAGTTCCCTAGAAACTGCTAGAATGGCCAAAATGAGAGGGATGGTAGAGTTATCACTAAGAGACATTTACGGCCAGAATTCATTCATTTAAAAAATATTTATTAAGCACCTCTTAAGGGAGCTTTCGTGGCCTAGTAGCAAGAAGCTGCCCTGTAATCACAAAGGCAGACAGTTTGGGGCCACAGCTGTGGAAGAAGGATGGGCAGTCTCCTCCAGTGCAATTAACTGCCTCTGAAAACCCATCAGAGGGTTAGCTGTGGGTTGGTTCTGACTCTACGATACACAACAAAAAGCAGCTATTATATGAAGAGCATTATTACAGGCATGTGAAACATCAGCAAAGAAAAGAAACAAAAGATGCTTTATGTTCCAAAAATTTTGTAAATTAATATCTTGAATATGAAGAAGGAAAAGGCAAGGTGAGAATGCAAAAAAATAAATAAATATGGAAGCAAGTACTTTTCAGTATTTGTTCAGTGGGCCAAATTAAAAAAATAAAATTCTTGATTGCATGGCCTTTATGTACTGAGGTCCATGATGACACTGAATGGCATACATGTGCCTCCTGTCATCCTGGAGCTTTTACAAGAACAATGGCGTGGGAGAAGGGACATAGTTTTACTCTGAGTATAACTTAGCTCTCAAGAAATAAACCTTGCTTTGGGATGCAGGCCACACATAAAGATCTATGCTGGTGGTATGCCCAGACCCAAAAAGATTCACCTGGAAGTTTCAGGAGGTCAGGACTAGTAGCTGTTGTTAGGTACTGTCAAGTCAACTACAACTTTCAGCAATCTTATGACTAACAAGTCAGAAGCCCGTGCTTTCCTCACAATCTCTGATACGTTGTTGTATACCATCAAGTCAGAACCAACCCGTAGCTGGCACTCCAGCGTGTTTTCACAGACAGTTAATTATACAGGAGGAGAGTTTCCCATCTTTCTCCCATGCAGCAGCTGGTAGAGTTGCCAGCACAATTCCATATCACTAGGCCACCAGAGCTCCCTACAACTGGCCAAGAAAATCCAGTCTAAGGAAAATCAAGGCTGAGAGAGTCTCCTGGTTGGTGTAAGGTGCGCAGTGTACTCTCTCTGAAACAGGGGAGCCCCACCAAGGGACCTTCTCAGACTTCACCTGTGCCTCTCTCCCTTGAGATGATCCTAGTTTACAGCCTTTTATCACAATAAAACCATAATACTTAGTCATATAATAATTTCTGTGAGTTCTATGAGTCATTCCAGCCAAGTAATGAACCCAAGGACACTGTAATCTTAACTTGTAAAGCTTAACCTAATCCTGGGGTGGAGATACAGCTGGGGGGGAGGGGAGAGCGAGCAAGGGGAGAGAGAGAAGGGGAGGGAGAGGTGGGCAGATCATGACAGCGTGAAAAATGATGGAGAATCCAGAGAGGCAACACAGACAACTATGGTATAAGACCACTGTTATAAAAAGGTAAGGAAATAGTCATACAAAAATAAATTCAATCATGGGGCGGTAACAGGAATGGGAAGGGAGGGAGTTACTGTACCTGTTGTTAGATGCCCTTGAGTGAGTATAATTCATAGTGACCCTAAGAAGAACAGTTGACCTGAACTATACCCTGGCCTGTGTCATCCTCATTTCTGACACACTCAAGCCAAATGCTGAAGTCCGTGTCAATCCATTTTATTGAAGGCATTCTTCTTCTTCACTGACCCTCCATTATTCCAAGCATGGTGTCCTTTTCCAAGAAACAGCCTCACCTCATTACATACCCAAGTTATGAAAGAGAAAGCTTCACCATCTTGGAATCCAAGGAGCACTCTGGCTGTACTTTTTCCAAGATATATTTGTTTGTTCTTTTGACAGGCCTAGAGATATTCAGCACTCTTCTTCAGCACCATAACTCAAAGGCATCAAGTCTTATTCTGTTTTCCTTATTCATTGTCCTGCTCTCTGATGTGAAGCAATTGATTGAGAAGACCATGGCCTGAATCAGGTGCACCTTAGTCTTCAAACTGACATCATTGCTCATCAGCATTTTGGAAAGGTCTGTGACAGCAGACTTGTCCAATGCAATACATCTCTTGAGTACTAGTACCAAGTATATTGATTGTAGATTCAAGCAACATGAAATCATTGACAAGCTTCAATTTTTTCTCCATCTATCTTAATCTTGACTGCTGATCTGTGGTGTTTTCTTGATGTTGAGATGTAATCCATTTCAAAGGCTGTAGTCATTGATCTTCTGCAGCAAATGTTTCATATCCTCCTCACTTTCAGCAAGCAAGGTTTGCTTCAGTATGCAAAGTTGTGCCATCTGCATAATTCAGGTTGTTGCTGAGTGTTCCTCCAATCTTAATGCCACATTCTTCTTCATAGTGTCCAGTTATGCAAACTATTTGCTCAGATTGAATAGGAAATGGAGAAAGTATACTACCTTAACACACATCCTTCCTGATTTTAAACCATGCAGTGTTCCCCTGCTCTGTTCAGACAACAGCTTCTCGTTCTAGGTATAGATTCCATATGAGCATAATTACATATTCTGAGATTTCCATTTTTGTCGACATTAGCCATACTTTTGTTATGATCCACAAAATCGAATATATGTATGTATTGTTGTTGTTATGTGCCATCGAGTCATTTCCAACTCATAGCGACCCTATGCACAACAGCTCTAAACCCTGCTCTATCCTGCGCCAACTGCACCGCCTCTGACACACCCATCCCGATTACCCCAGTCACC